GTTGGAACCTTCTGATTGGTCTGATAGAGTCAGAATATGTAAGATCATCTATTATTGGTTCTCCTTACTGAAAGCTACCTGAGAAATGATAAATCAGACTCATTCTTGAGACGGGCCTTGGTCGGTTAACATTTCATGTTACTTGCCCCGTCACTTGCATTGTTTGTCAGATTTATTATTTCAGATATTCTATGCTTGAGTTAAGACAGAAACCCTTTTTTATCCATTGATCAGGACGCCAGCATATGTAAGTACGACATTTGTTTCTGCGGCCTTATTTTAAATTTCCCGCTTGCATTAAAAGGAATATGCCCCGTAGGTTTCTCATTCCCACATGTCAGACACCGCGAAATCATGATATGCAGTTTCGTTTATCCTTTTGCTTTTGATGATATATTTAGTGTTTTTTATATGATTAAGATTGTCCTTTTTTATTAGATTTGATTCTACAGTTCGTAAGTTACAGAAGAATGATCTAAGTTGAGAATTTGGAGTAAAAGCTTACAGGATACAAATATTCGGTCACCTAGGATGGATTCTAGGTAAAGGGTTTTATTACTATATCGACGAATTTAGTTTTGAGAAGGATTCGTCGCGAAACAGGAGGGCAGTGCCCCCCCCCCGTAAAACTCAGATCTATAACACATTTCAAATATGAAACTGAAGAGTGAAGAGCATAAAAAAATTAGTTTGCTGTTTTTTTCTGCTAGTTTTGTTTGATAATGTGAAACTTTAAAATGTATTCAAAAGCCAAATGTTTGAATTTACAGTTCAAATTTTGCCCCCCCCCCTAGGAGCTCCTCGGAGGGGGGGTCAGAAAAAAATTTCGCTCATATTTGCCACCCCACCCCCTCCCTAGATTTATTTCTGTGTACTTCCTTGGACTCACTGTACAACGCTGCGTATTGGTTGCTTCAAATAAACAGCAGTTTCAGTGCAAATCACATATTAATATTTGACTGAATGAAAAAAGAAAACTTTTAAAGAATTCAATGTTTGAGACTAACAACCCAAATCTTGAATAAATAGATTGGGATTTCGTTCATAACAATAATACATAATAGTCCTTAAGTGTTTAATTATAATAACTATTTTATTAGTTTGATTAGTCTTAGAGTGTTAGATGTGTATAAATAATACATATATAGCTCCAGGTCATTGGTATATTCAGTAGTTTTTAGTACAGGGTGTCAAGAAAACGTCAAAAATTCTTTTATTTCTATTTTTTTAATCGATCACTTTTAAAGTGTCTGTATTTTTAAAAACTGTCTTCAGATTTGTGAATTTTTTTTTGTTACACACTGTAGTATGTGGAGGATTGCATAGCCTGGGGTGTGAGGAGGATAAATCAAGATATTTTTCTACAGGGTGTTCCACTAAACAACAGGTTCAATCTATAGCATATTCTCATGTTTACTTCAAGTCACGCCAAACTAACATAAATTGCACGAAAGATTAAAATCTTTTATTATTTCAATCATAACTTCTCTAATATTGATGAGCTGAGATATCATAACTTCTCTAATATTGATGAACTGAGATATCATAACTTCTCTAATATTGATGAGCTGAGATAAATCATAACTTCTCTAATATTGACGAGCTGAGATATCATAACTTCTCATATTGATGAACTGAGATATATCATAACTTCTCTAATATTGATGAGCTGAGATATCATAACTTCTCTAATATTGATGAGCTATGATATCATAACTTCTCTAATACTGATGAGCTGAGATATAATAACTTCTCTAATATTGATGAGCTGAGATATATCATAACTAAACCAATATTGATGAGCTGAGATATAATAACTTCTCATATTGATGAACTGAGATATATCATAACTTCTCTAATATTGATGAGCTGAGATATCATAACTTCTCTGATATTGATGATCTGATATATCATAACTTCTCTAATATTGATGAGCTGAGACATATCATAACTTCTCTAATATTGATGAGCTGAGATATCATAACTTCTTTAATACTGATGAGCTGAGATGAGTTTGACAGTCTCCTTAAGACTAGTTCATCTTACTAGGCTTTTAATGATACGAGAGTTACTTTGAAAACATTCATTCCTGTTTCGAGGATGATGAGGACGACATTTTCATATTTTCCAGGAAGGTTCGAAAATCCAACGCCAGCCGTGATAATAATGTGTAATATTATTTTTTTTTATCAAAAATATTATGAAATATCAACTATATACGAATGCGTTGAAAAAAAATCGATTATAGGTTGTAATATCTGAATGATTTTTTTTTGGAATTAACTTGACTTTTTTACGATCCAAGTCGAATATTGCAACTTTCTGAATTTGTATGGACGCTACATTCTTTGGTATGAGTCGTTTTAAAACAAATATCTCCTTATAGACGCAACAGATAGAATTAAGATTAGGAACACAATAACCATCGAATATTTTACGACGTCAGCCTATACCACCTTTCATTTTTCGCGAACACTCCCTTTTATTGTTGCTTTATCTGTTAACATATACACAAAAACAAAAAAATTGCGGATTTAATAATATTTCTTCGCGTATTTTCAAAGTTTTATGGAAATCAATTTTTTGGAGGCAAATTTTGAAATTCTTATCATCCATAAACCTTCCCTAAGGTCCAACAAAAAGTTTGGGCCCGCTCGATTCTGCCATTTTGACGTTAAAACTTACAAGCAAACAGACAGACAAGCAAAGTGTATATTTTATCTTATGGAAAATGTTTTATCGTAAACTACACCAAAATTTAGTATACAGTGATTGATCAGCCCCGGCCCTCCCGCTTGCTTACGATCTTTGCTTTTGTTTACAATCAAACAAGTTTAAAAGCCACTGTACATTATAGTTTAAATCATGTACATTGTACACTGTACATTGTACAGTCCTTGTTTGTTCCATATATAGTAAAATCTTAATTTTACATTTCACGTGACAATGGCATTACATTTCAAATTGCAAATCGTTTCGCAAATTGCACAAAGTCAATATATCTCTGAATTTGTGTCTTCAAGAAATGCACAATCAGTGTACAAATTACAATGTACAATGTACGATGTACAATGTACAATGTACAATGTGCAATATTTAAATTTAAATATATAATTAGAAAACCATCCATGTGTATAAAATTAAAGAACTTTATGTAAACGAAATCTGCGAGAAAAATATACACCAACACTTTTTTTTACAAACAATTGCTGCAATATAACAGTATTAATATAAATGAAATAAAAAAGAATGACAATTTATATATTTTAAACATTTCTGAGTTTATATAATACCGACCAAATAAGGACTTGTAACATTATGCCATTTGTTCACAGCACATTAGCACTATTATAGGTTTAAATCGTATGCATATTGAATAAATGAATATTTAGTTCAAACTGCAGAGATCATTTATCAAGTTCAATTCTTCCACTAGCAAGGGTGTAAACAGAATTTATTGGGGGAACGNGGGGGGGCGCCACCCTCCCCCCTTATTCCGGAAAGAAATAGGGAAGAGGAAATTTTAAAAATATTATGGATTCAAGGAAAAACACTGAATAATAAAGAGTAGAAACTGCGCCCCCCCCCCTCTCCCCTGTAAACATCCTATATAAAAGTATATAGCACATATTAACCATATTTTTCCCTTTATCGAATTACAATAAGGAAGATATCGGTGTTTTTTTTCTGTCCTAAAAAGATCTAAATTATTTTTAATTCATCTATTATCTGCAATTCACTTCAAAATAAATTTTTCCTCGAACAAACTTTTAATGGACGCCGTTCTAACTCGGGCATACTGCTCGTCATATTACGTCTACAATTTCTTTAAGAGGGTTCCTTGAAACTAAAACTTTTTTGTGAACACCAGGAAACTAAAAACTTGCTGAGTAATAAATTTATGTGCTATTATCAAGGGTTTACGATGGAGAACTGGGAATTTTTCAGAAAAATAATTTTAATTCAGATGAACATTTCATAAAGGGTTTGTCAACATTATTTCCAATGACATTTTAAGTTTAGAGTTCCATCAATAATTCAGCACACATTGATCCAGACTGCTATGAAAAGTTGCATCAATAATTCAGCACACATTCATCCAGACTGCTATGAAAAGTTGCATCAATAATTCATCACACATTGATCCAGACTGTTATGAAAAGTTCCATCAATAATTCATCACACATTGATCCAAACTGTTATGAAAAGTTCCATCAATAATTCATCAAACATTGATCCAGACTGCTATGAAAAGTTCCATCAATAATTCATCACACATTGATCCAGACTGCTATGAAAAATTCCATCAATAATTCATCACACATTGATCCAGACTGCTGTAAAAGTTGCATTAATTTTCTAGACTGGATATACGGTAAAGTGATTTTACCTTACCAACTCAATAATACATTTTTGTAACCCTAGACAAGTACATTTAAAAACTACAAAGCACTTGTGTTTAGTGTCAGTTTTAAAAGAATAATTGGCAAAATAATTATTGAGGTTTGCGTGAGAGCTGGTAACCTGAACCACTGTACGATCAGAACTATATGTTTATTTTCTCTGTTTTTTTTATTTTCTAAAATTCTAAGCACGCTTATTTCTGTTTGCAGCTCCATATCTTCAAAACATTCGTGGGGAAATGACTTTAGGTAATTTTTCACAAATATATCTTTTTCTTAATCATCTTTTCTTTGATGATGCATTCTGTATAAATACGTGTATCCGGATACATGGATACAGGAGGGTCTAATAAACATGATAAATATACAAAACTTAAGGGACTATAGCTTGGAAACCCACACTTGTTCAGGGTACTCAAACAGTTGCTCGACTCACTCAACTTAGAACATCACAACCAAGCTAAGAACATTCCTGGCTGGTTCTCCTGAGTTTTCCAATCAAAATTTGAGGCAAATCGGTCCAGGTGTTCTAAAGTAATGATCAGACATATAAACAAACAAAATTTACCATAATAAATATATAGAATATACCCTGATACAGGGGTTCTAATAAACATGATAAATATATAGAATATACCCTGATACAGGGGTTCTAATAAACATGAAAAATATATAGAATATACCCTGATACCGGGGTTCTAATAAACATGATAAATATATAGAATATACCATGATACAGGGGGTTCTAATAAACATAATAAATATATAGAATATACCATGATACAGGAGGGTCTAATAAACATGTTAAATATATAGAATATACCATGATACAGGAGGGTCTAATAAACATGTTAAATATATAGAATATACCCTAATACAGAGGGTTCTAATCAACATGATAAATATATAGAATATACCCTAATACAGAGGGTTCTAATCAACATGATAAATATATAGAATATACCCTAATACAGAGGGTTCTAATAAATAAATATATAGAATATACCCTAATACAGAGGGTTCTAATCAACATGATAAATATATAGAATATACCCTAATACAGAGGGTTCTAATAAATATGATAAATATATAGAATATACCATGATATATGGGGTTCTAATAAACATGATAAATATATAGAATATACCCTGATACCGGGGTTCTAATAAACATGATAAATATATAGAATATACCCTGATACAGGGGGTTCTAATAAACATGATAAATATATAGAATATACCCTGATACATGGGTTCTAATAAACATGAGACATATATAGAATATACCCTGATACAGAGGGTTCTTATAAACATAATAAATATATAGAATATACCCTAATACAGAGGGTTCTAATCAACATGATAAATATATAGAATATACCCTAATACAGAGGGTTCTAATGATAAATATATAGAATATACCATGATACAGGAGGGTTCTAATAAACATGATAAATATATAGAATATACCCTAATACAGAGGGTTCTAATCAACATGATAAATATATAGAATATACCCTAATACAGAGGGTTCTAATAAACATGATAAATATGTAGAATATACCCTGATATAGGGGGTTCTAATAAACATAATAGATATATAGAATATACCCTGATATAGGGGGTTCTAATAAACATGATGAATATATAGAATATACCCTGATACAGGGGGTTCTAATAAATATGATAATTAAATAGAATATACCCGGATACAGGGGGTTCTAATAAACATGATAAATATATAGAATATGTCCTGATACAGGGTGGTCTAATTAACAAGATAAATATATAGAATATACCCTGATATAGGGGGCTCTAATAAACATGATAAATATATAGAATATACTCTGATACAGGGGGTTCTAATTAACATGATAAATATATAGAATATACCCTGATATAGGGGGTTCTACAAGATAAATATATAGAATATACCCTGATATAGGGGGTTCTAATAAATATGATAATTAAATAGAATATACCCG